GGTTTGGGCCCATTTGGCAGCCACTGTGTCTGCTCATCGCGTTGAGTCTAACTCTGTTTCACTGACTCTGCTTTACCACGCACGATGCCCTTCTCCATGGACTCGTGTATACAAGTGTGTGGAAAAATGGAATTTCAAAAACAATGGAATTTTTCTCACAAACTTTTTGGAACCATGTGTATGGTACAAACAAGTATGCAAGTACTCACTGAAAGATTGTTGGCTCAAACGCACCTAAGGGTGCCTCAGAAGACAAAAGCCAAAAACCAAACTCATTGACACCGAGTCAATTCTGACTCATGGGGACCCGATGAGACACAGGGCACAACTGTCCCTATGGGTTTCCCAGACTGTAACTTTTATGAGAGTAGACAGTCTCTTTCCCCTACCTCTCAGAAGACAAACCTGGATGATCTACTGTCAAAAGATCACAGTCTTAAAAACCATTTGGAGCAGTTCTCCTCTGCATGCACAGGATCATCATGAGTTGAAGTTAGCAGCTAGCAACTGTAAATATCTATCTATCTATCTATCTATCTATCTATCTATCTATCTATCTATCTATCTTCTATCTTCTATCCATCCATCTATCTACATAGAACAGTTATCATTTCAGTATTTTTACATACGCAGTTCAGCGACATTAATGACATCAGTCATGTTGTGCATCCATATTTTTCCATAATTTCCCATCACCCTAACAGAAGTTGCCCTCCTAAGCAATGACTCCCTGTAGCTGCCCCTCTCTTGCCCCTAGAAATCACTAATGAACTTTGGTCTCTACACATTTGCCTAGTCTACCTGTTTCCCTTAAATGGGATCATACAATACTTGTCCTTCTGTGATTGGCTGATTTAACGCAGCCTAATGTTTTCAAAGAAGTGCTGGTGGCTAGCGTAGTGAGTGGTTCTGAGTTGGGCTGCAAACCACCGGGTCAGCAGTTCTAAACCACCAGCAGCTCCAAGGGAGAAAGTCACAGCTTTCTAGTCCCATACAAAATTACAACTCTGAAACGCACAGGAGCAGGTATCCCTTGTCCTCCAGGGTCGCTATGAGTGAGAATTGACTCGGTGGTCATGAGTTAATGGCGTTGAGTACATCGTGCCTCTTGATGACAGAGTAATACCTTCTTTGGTTCATGGAATGAACACTTTTACAACCCTTCTTGGGACACTTGGAGTCGTTGGGTATCGCAAACATGGAAGCACTCAACTACACACTGAAAGGGCGGCCATTCCAACCCACCCCGAAGCGCCTGGGAGGCAGGATCTGGCAATCTACTCTCTAAAGGTCGCAGCCTCGAAAGACCCGTGGGGGACGGTTTTACTCGGACCCACATTGTGCATCAGAGTCAACTTGATGGAAACTGGGCGATTTTTGTTGTTGGAATGGATACTAGGCTTTTGCCCTAGGGGTCCCTACATGAATTTTTTTCAGTGCATCTACCCTGCTTGGGTGGGCCCACAGCTCCTGAGAATGGCCTTGCAGCCCACGGGGTGGTACATCGTCTAGGGTGCCACAGAAATCTCCAGCTCCAGCTGTGTGGCATGACATTTACTTGACAGTCTGTCTTCTCCAAGAGGTGAGTCACAGAAAATTAGAGATGGGAAAGACCAATGAGGTCATCTAATCCATGTCCTGCCCGTTGACAATCCCTCCCCTGTGCTCCATTTCCTATCGCATCATCCAGCTTCGTTTTAAATAGCAGAGAGGGCTGCCTTCACGTGCAGCCCAAACTCACTCTGAGATGTCTACTCTAGGCTTACGTTTGCAGTCATGCTGGGGTTACGCACTTGCCTCAATCTAAAAACAAAAGCCCTTGAGAATGATTGGAAAGTGGAAATCCCTCTCTTCAAAAGAAAAGATCCGTTCCAGGAAGATCAATGGTCTGGGCCACATCACTTCATTTCTTGCAATTTAGTTAGACATTGATTTGGGATTGCTTGGCTTTTAATTTCTTTAACAAGGTCTAGACCTGTAACCAAGGAGTACCGCTGGTTTTGTTCAAAAAGCTCACTTGGCTCACTTTTTCACGTAATTACACATCCTCTTGGTTTCTATGTCCTGGTACGTAGCCCAGCCCATCACTGCAATACAAATAGAGGCCCTTTGCTTATGCCCAGGTAGTCAGCTCACTGTGAAAAGCATATCTAAGAATTCATTGGTGACTTACCTTAATCTGACCCTTTAAGCAAGGCTCGCTGCACACAGACCGTACCATGCCACTCTTGTTCATCTGGATTTTGTAGTCATCAATGTTCAGCACTCCTTCATGCCAAGTTCCAATATGCACATAGTCATAGCGCTTAGCTTCAGTGTATTGCAGATTCATGATGTCATATCTAAAAAGAAAACAACACGTGGGTCAGGAAAAACAGGAACATCTTGTAGAACATAAAGAAAAGAGGGCATATAAATAACAAGGAAACAAAGGCAGAACAGCGCTGCCCCACCTCCCGGGGAAAACTACGATCAGCATTTTAGTTTGCTTCTTTTAAAAATGTTACTTTTAATTTTAAGTTTTATTGACATATAATTCACAAATCATACAGTTCAGTGGTTTAAGCACATTTTTAAAAGCTGTGCACTCATCACCACCAGCAATTTTAGAACCTTTTCTTCTTTCTTGTTCTCATTAGGCTTAGCTCCCCATAACCTCCCAATAGTCCCTTTGATGTCATTAAATGTGTATTCATTCTCCCATCTCTGTTTGAACATCCTGTATCTCTCCTGCAGAATATTAACTCTTGGACTTCTCTCACTCTGCTTATTTTCCAAAAAATAATGCCATGTCTGCTTGATTACCCTTGCCTTCCAATCAGCACCCCCTATGGTATTCTTTGAGCAAGCATACTTATCCTTTCAAACAGCACTTTCTTAATTTGATTACTTTTATTCCAAATTTATTTCCCAACTGCAGTTTCTGTTTTCACTATGCTGGATTAAAATAGGTGCGTTTTACCAAGCCTCATGCCTTCCGTGTTAGGTGCTAATAGAGGGAGAAATCTGAGAAACACAGATTTAATTAGTAAGGATGTTGAGGATTTAACATCTTGCACATTGACATTTAAGCTGATCTCTTCACTGATTAGGGCAAACATTTTGAATCCAAATAATTGTCATCAGCTATTTCAGTAATGTCAAAAGCTGCAGTGCTATGAGACGGCAAAAACCTACCTTTAGAAATTGTCACTGTTGCCAGTGTGTTTGGGGGTTGACCTCATGGCTTTCCAGCGGTAGTCATTCAGGACACTTTCCAAAGTGATGGAAAGAGCACACGACTTGACACCAGAACATGCCAGTTGGGCTCCCTTTTCTAGCATCTGAACAGCAGATTAGGCTACTTAGAATTATCTCTAAAGGCTTTAGAGTTCACACAATTCTGGTGGGGGTTTAGTAAGACAAGGCAAGTAAAACTAGTTCACCACCGGGGCAAAGGCATATGCAAGTCAAAGACACTATATCATTCTCGTTTACAGTTCTAGGAATACTCTGAAGTATTCTCATATTTCTGTTAACATAAGGAACTTGGAGAACACCTTTTGTTGGCATAACTATCTCTCAGCCATTGAAAACTCCCCGGTATTGTGAAACATTCTTGTGTGCTGCCCCAGGTAGACTATAAGTCATGTGAAGTTTCCTACAACTCATGCCTGGTTCTCTCCTTTACTGACTAGTGAAGTGTGATGTATACCTATGCAGAGGCTTCATGAGTTCTTGGCTAACACAGAAGAGGAACTGTCTCTTGTGCTTCATGGAGGGAAAATTTTTCTGCAAACACACACACACACACACTCACACTCCTAATCCACCCTGGTATTCTTTATTTCTGAACTTGACTCTGAATCTTTCTAATCCTCTACCAATCAATCTAGGTCAGCAGCAGACCCTTACTGGCTGATTGAAAGAACCCAGTTGTGTCTCTAAGTGACTAACTCCAGCTTCTTTCTTTAGACCACTAAGACCAATTGAATGATTTTTCTCCCTTTTTTCATGCACATTTTCTCTCTTCACTGTTCTAACCGATGGCTTACAGATGATGGGGAAATCCATTGTTACTGACATATCCTAGAACTTTCTTCAGAGTAGCTTTCTGAATGATATCCAGGAAATCTGAATGGGTATTAATTAATTATAGGCTGATGATGGCTCACACTCCTTTCTGTTGATCAATGATACTGATTGACACCTTCAGTATTTTCCCTTTCTAAACTCATGGTGACTGTGAACCCTGCTGTGAATGTTGGGGCAGAATGGTTCTCATGATCATTCCCTCTCATATGCGTGTTTTACTCCAGTGCAGGTGACAACAGCTCCCTGGTGGTCTTGTTTCCCTGTTAGCACTGGGGTATCTTTCCCCCCACACACCACTCTCCTAAGCCATTCATTTAGACTTCCTCATTTGCTCTCTCATAGGGGAAATCATTTCACACTTCATTGCATTTAGAAACCCCCAATTTTCACAATATTTTGGCAAGAAAACACAGTCCTAAAATGTCCCAGAAGCTTGAAGGAGAGAAAAAGAGAGCGGATACGGAAGGCTGGGGGAGGGTAAACTACTGCTGGACCGGAGGAAGTGCTTGGGGAACCATGGGCATCCTCTTTCTCTTGACTGCGGGCCTCCTTCCAGGGCTGCGGGTGTTACTTGGGCTCTCCTCCTGCCGTGAGCAACAGCATCACAGCAGAGGCTAGATGCACTCTGATGAGGATGCATGCTGATGAACTAAAATAATCACAAGAGGGGCCAAAAGCAAAATGCCGGCACACCGGGAGACTCCAGGAGAGGGAGGTGACCAATTTCAAGCAGGAGGAACTCAGCCCTGAAAAGGGACCCAGGGGAAAGCTCCTAATTTGAATATGTAATTAAGAAAATAGAGAAGTGAGTGAAAATCATGTGCTCCCTCTTCTGGAGCCCCTTGTCCTAGTGACACAGTGGGTTTTGCATCCTGATGCTTAACTCTCCAGCATCTCCATGGGAGCAAGATGAGGCTGTCTGCTTCCATGAAGATTTACAGTCAGGGAAACTCTAAGGGGCAGTTGTACTTCGTGCTAGAGGGTCCGTAGGTATTGAAATCGACTCAATGACTCATTCACTGTCCTTAAGACTATTCCAACTGATAGAACACCTATAGGGTTAGGATAGAACCCACAAGAATAGAACCTGATAGAAAATGAGTGGGAAGAGAAAGCCTATAGGTTTCTAAAACCCCTTTGTGTTTCCAAAATTTTAAATCTTTACAGAAGCATACAGCCTCATCTTTCTTTTGAGGAGTAACAGGTGGGTTCAAATCGCTGACCTTTCGGTTCACAGCTCAAGGTTTAGCCCACTATACCACCAGGGCTCTGACTTGATGACATTGTTTTTAGATTTGGGATAGAAGCCCCTGGATATTGCAAAGAGTTAATGTACTCAATTGCTAACCAAAGGTTGGAAGTTCATGTCCACCCAGAGGTTCGTGAGAAGAAAGGCTTGGCGAACTACATCCAAAAAAATAAGCCATTGAAAACTCTATAGAACAGAATTCTGTTGTTCAGTGCATGAGCTTGCCATGAGTTGGAATGGACTCCACGGTAATTGGTATGTTTTGGAGAACCTAGAGAGAAGCCAGAGGACAGACACTCAGATCTGTGGAGGAGCTGAAAGGTCTGTGCCTGGTACATGCTGTATTTCACTTACAGAACCACGAGGGAGGCTTTCTATTCCCAATCTGACCCTAGCTCCCACTGGAACGTGGAGTTTAAACCATAGGTGTAGAGGGTTAGGTAATCAACATTCTAAACACCAGTCCCCCGCGTTCCTTCGGAGACCATGCCCCAAGTCACCCAGAATGCATAGCTTTTCCACATATCCAAGCCCTGCTTCATCCAGTTCCACCCAATTGTACCCAACCAATGAAAATCTGGTCCCACCCAACTGGTATTTTGGAAAGAATCTACTACATCTATTGTTCTGATTGTTGCTAATGACGTTATATACTGTCCTTCCAAGATGGTTACCTATGGCTGTTGTGTCGATCCCCACTCATGACAATCCTGTAAGATCAAATACAAACTGCCCTATAGGATGTCCAAGGCTGTAATCTTTATGAAAGCAAATTGCTATATTTTACTTCCAAAGAGAAACTGGCAGGTTCAAAATGTCAACCTTTGAATAATCAACTAAATATGCAACCACTGAGACACCATGGTTCTTTTCCTCATGACTTATCCCCACCCCACAGGTAACTCTCAAATGTAGAATGTTAAGCTTGCATGAGATGAGGAGGTATGTGGGGAATCCCATGGGGCTACACAGAACTTTGGAGTACCTGTAAAATTACACTAAGAAGGTTGCCAGCAACTTAGCCCAATCTTGAGATTAGCAGGATATAGCAGAAAGATTGTAAATCACAAATTCAAACAGTCTCCACCAATTATTAGCTATGTGACTTTGTGAGATTCTTAGCTTTTCTGACACTCACTCCATTTATTTATCTATTTTTCTTTATCTTGGTGAAAATACGTACACACATGCACACCCGTACGTCCCTTCTCCAATCTCTACATGTACCATGTAGCGACACTGCTGACGCTCTTCAAGCATTGGAACCTTCACTGACAAGCCTATCCAAACGATTTCACCATCATTAACCCAAATCCATTGCCCCTGAAATTGCTCATCCAGCCAATCAAGTTGCTGTTGTCGAGTACAATCCTTAAAGCAGACATTCTTTTGTAATTGGGCTAACGGATCTCTGATTGCACAGTGGATTACGCTGTGATCCACGAAGTCAGCCATTTGAACCCACCAGCATGCCAACTGTGAAAGATAAGGCTGTGTGCTCCCGTACAGATTTCCAGGAAACACAAGGTGCAGCTCTACTCTTCTCGAAAGAGGCGCTCTGAGTAGGGATCGGCTCCATGGCAGTGGTTGAGTTATTTGGTGCTAAGATGACTTTGTGGAGTGGTTTGCAGTTCAAGGTTTAAAGATTCCCTCATCAAAATCATTTTAGGAGGGCTAGCTGCCCTCAACAGCTCTGGAAAGTACTGATATTCTGTGGAATCATCTGTAAAAAGAGGATGATGAATACCAATAGCAACATGAAGCCCTCGTGAGGATTAAATTATTTGATGTTCTGTTTTGACTCACATAAAGAGGCTTTTCTCAAAAGCTCCCACAGTGCAAAACCATGATACTGAATGATGACAAGATTTGTGAGAGAAAAAGGAGGTTTGGGGAACACTTGAAAGCATTCATGATTTCGTAACCAGGAAACTGCATCCAGCTGTAAATGTGCACAAGCAAACCATGAGTTAAGTGAGAACAATTGACACCTCAGGAGATTATGTGGACGGCCTAGGCAGGCACCTTGGAATGTCGTAACGTTGTCCGAGAAGCTGTTTAAGATGCACAGAAAGAGCCGAGAAGAGAAGCTCTTTGGGCCTAGCTGAGCAATGAAGAGCTCTGAGGGGGAGAGCAGACAACCGTGCTAGGAGAGCCCGGCAAAATTGGAGGAGTCGGCCTCAGTGTATGACTCCCTGACCCAGAGCGGAAAGAGCTCCCGCCCTGCAGAGGAAGCCACGCCAAGAACCTGCTCCTTCCCGGCTCTGCTGAGTAGCCCTTGCCTGGGAAAATTCCTATGAAAGAACACAATTACTCTTCATAGCGATGTCATTCTCTGTGTAACAGTCACAGGAGAGCTAACTGGTGTCATAAAAGCAACTGTGCTAGCAGAACAGACTGTACGTAAAATGAAAGGATAGATACAGAAACACGTCATATATATATATAATCATAGAGCACTGGGGGCATAGCTTACGCCTGGTTACGCATTGGGTTGCAATCCTTAAGGTCCACAGTTCAAAACCACCAGCTGCTCCATAAGAGAAAGACGAAGCTTTCTACTCCCATAGAGTTGCAGTATCAGAAACCCTCAGGGGCAGTTCTACCCTGTCTTATAGGGTTGCCATGAGTCAGAATTGACTTGAGGGCAGTGAGATATATATCCAAAAAAAAAAACCAAACAAACAAAACTGGTGGCCATTGAGTCGATGCTGCCCCATAGCAACCCCCTGTGGGTTCCCAAGACTGTAATTGTTCACAGGAGTAAAAAGCCCAGTCTTTCTCTTGAGGAGCTGCTAGTGGTTTCAAACTTCCA